GTGCCTGGCAGAGCACCCCACACTGTTTACAAACTGTGTCTGCCTTGATCCCACTCTAAAGTGCGCACAATTCATACACCCCGAACTCTTCGAAGATCGTCATTTTTGCAATGTATGGAAGAATAGCTCATTATTCGTGCACCGGCATATATGCGCACTTGTAGATGACAAGTTACATCAGTCGTGCCGCTTGGCCGCCTGGTCGCCCTGCACTGTGACCAGAAAAATGCCCACCCATGTGCGCCCAGCAGGGTCCCAAACTTGACTGACGAGGGTCCTACCAAGAAATCCAGTGTGCGACCTGCCATGGCATCATTGCGCCCCCACCTCCCATTCTCGATCGCTCGACGATAACATGTCAATTCACTGATGGCCCGGGAGATGGACATATTTTGGAAGATTCAGGGCCCAGAAAAGAACATGACGCATCGGTATCACGCCCTGGCATGCGCCGAAGCCCGGATCTCCACGCTATGCCCTGCACTTCGGAATCATGTGTGGTGCGGGTAAGCTCCGACAGCTCATCGCCTCGGAGGCGAAGCTCTTACTTTACGAGATTCTGCCCTGCTTCCCCCCTTCCCTTTCAGTCGCATCGAATTGCCACCCTCAGTCTACAGACGCCTGGCCCGTATTATGGCCCGTATTATCTCGTGTTGCACCATGCCCGCGACGAGTGAGTGTATTGGCCTGTTCCAATCAAACATCGGATGCTGCCGGCTTTGCATGTCTCGACAGGGCAGAGAGGACTGCGCAGCACACGTACGTCACCTTGTTGGTTTGAGGAAGCGCGGCGCACCGAACCATCCGATATCCCCAGTCCCATCCCGCACTGGCAACGCCGTGGTATCCCTCTTTTTCTTGTGCTAATGCGCGTGCTTGCCTTCATGCCCCTCGAAGGTCTATCGTCTTGCTGTTCTTGCCCAACAAGCCGCACATCTCATGATAGATTAAGGCGGTTCTTTTCTCAACGTCACGCATTGGATCCTGAGACAACGTTGTGCTAGATGTCATGTCATGGCATCGCGTGTCTAGGCTTGGTCGATGTCGTCTAGGTGCATTTGGACTGTCATGCAGACTGTCACGATCGAAAGCGTTCCTGCAGGATGCAGCGAAACCTGGCCCAATACGTATGTTTAGACTGGTACTGCTCTAGGGCACCACCTAGACCCAACACAAATCATGTGGTCAATCGCCGTTGCAGCTTCGGAGGCAACACCTCGTGGTGGCTCCACAAGAGACAAAGTCCTTACATACCTTTTCGCAAGTGACTGAAATAACGGCAATACCGTCCTGAATTCGGGTGTCAGTAGTACCGAGCTGTGTGACAGGTAGTGCAACGCTCGTTCCGGCCCGTTTCTTGGATCATTGGCTCCATAGGCTCAGAATCCATCCGAGGCGGGGGACGGGTAGGTGCCGGACGGCAATCTCACCCGCCAAAAGGGGGCATGTTTGATATGTATTGCGAGATGAAGTCTCGAACAAGATCTGGTGTCAGCCAACAAGGGATTGTACTCAATTTTCAACATGGACTCGGAGACTGATGGCCAGCTATTGCGGGTTTCTTGAATCAGTTGGTGAATCAATTGAAACACTTTTCCCAAGTTCAAAACAAGACTTCAAAAATTCTTGGGTCCCCTTGAGGTGTCATACATTGAGAGCCCTCTCTCGGATTTTGAAGCATATTGGAGGAGGTGGGGTACCATTTGATGCCTATGGACTGACTGTGTGACTGTGCACGACCCTGAGGGCCACCTGCCCCTACTCCAACACTGCAAAGAAGAGTGACGCGACACGCAATTTCTGTTACAAAGAAGGCTTTTCGGCGGCAGTGAGAAAAAGCACATTTGCCAACAGAATATAGTGACATTCCCTTGTCTAGGAGGTCTGGTTCACGTTGACATCTTCAGCTGGGTACACTTGTATCCAGGACATCCATGTTCTTTCAATGTGGACCTCGGCTGCGTACATTTAGCCATATATATATGGTCATATCCCACATCTCTTTCCATGCTGGAACATGGAAGACAGACTTTGGTGCAGAAAGCTTGGGTCAGGCCATGAGGTTCATCACCCACTTCCGTGAATCCCAAGCTTCAACCCCCTTCCGAAGCGCCACAGCACGTGCTGCACGTGACTGTCTCCCATCCCAACTGGCAGTGAAGAGAACCCACAACGTTACCAATGGCAGTGGCTGACGTGCCAAGGGGTTCGGCTCAATTCCATTGCTCGACCTCCCCGACCCTTCTGGAAGTAGGATCCTGGTCTGGCCCCCCCAGCAGAAATTCAAAGTGAACATCGTGGAGCATCCAGTCCTCGGCGACCTTCCACCTCATCTTGATCTACCTCCCCCCTTACCCCCTCCTCCTCAACCAGTTTCCTCATCATCAATCCATCCAGATCGACGTCTGCTCATCTGCTTGGTGCTTGCCATTCTCTTTGGCTCGTCTATCGAATCTACTCCATACAATTGCCACTACGCAATGTTCTAGGAAAGGTCAATAGCTACCTTCCCTACCCCAGCTTTCCCCCATTCACGAGCCAACCGCCACATCGAGAATAACATTCGAAAGTACTGCCGCAACTTTGTAAGTGAAATATAGTGCTGCTGCTCGCCTCCCAGTCTGCCATTTCTCTCCTCTACAGCCGTCAATTCTAATGAGAGTACTGGCCAGATCCCATAACCACCCCCCCTCTTCTCTAGCGACCCAAGTCTACCGGTATTATCATCATGGCCTCTTCCAGCAGCGACATCAACACGGGCGAGCTATCGGCCGCCCAGAAGTTGATGAACCAGCACGCCGACGTTCCCCACCACGTGGAGATCGAAGAGGTGCCTGACGAGGATCTGCCCCTGAAGGCTGCCGAGAAGCCCAAGGAGACCCAGCGTCCCAACCAGCGCCTCGACACCCAGTCCCACGACCTTTTCCCCGAGCTTGGAGCTGGAAAGGGCAAGGGAAGCGCCAATGTTGCCCCTATTTGGGGTGCGAAAAACACCAACGGAAGGAGCGCCTCGCCCGCCAACGGCATCTCGCGCACCTCGACCCCAGGCTCTGGTACCGGAACCCCCAGGGGCGGTGCTCCCCTGCTGAACATCCCTGGCCGTAACGTCGAGAACCTCGTCCTCGAGCCGCAGTACATTCTTCCGCGTGGCCAATTGCGCCGCCCGATTCCTGATATTATCAAGGACATCAACCGCAAGAGCCGTGCCAACATCACCATGTCGACCTCTAGCAACGGAAGACTCAAGTTTGAGGCCACAGGCCAGCAGGACGTTGCGCAGCAGGCCCTGAAGGATCTGGTCCAGCAGATTGGCACGACGGTATGAATTATACTCACGAGTTTCTTCCATGCTGTAGCTAACGCGTAATGGTTCGCAGCAAACGATCAAGGTTCCCATTCCCCAGTCAGCGCGTGCCCACATCATCGGTCGCCAGGGTTCCACCATCAAGGCCCTGCAGCAGAAGTCGGGTGCCCGCATCCAGATGCCCAAGCAGGATGAGAACGTGCCCCAAGATGATGATGACGACGATGCCGTTATTGACGTCATCGTGGAAGGCAATGCGGTTTCTGCGGCTGCAGCTCGTAACGAGATTCTGAAGATCGTTGGTGACCGCGGCGCCAGTGCCACGACCAAGCTCCGCGATATCCCCGCGCAGTTCTACCCCTTTATTGCCGGCCCCAACAACAGCCTGCTCGCCCCTTTCGAGACCGATGGCGTTCAGATTCGCGTTCCGCCGTACCAGGCGTGGGCCTCGGAGCCTCTCCCCGCTGTGCCCAACCCCGGACAGCGCCCTACGTTTGTGCCCGCCTCTCGTGACAACCACATCTCGCTTGCTGGTGACCGCGCTTCCGTTCAGGCCGCCCGCTCCGCCATCGATCGGCGTGTTCAGGAGCTGCACGACCAGCTCCTGATGCAGCAGGTGTCTATCCAGCCTGGTCGTCACCAGTTCATCATTGGCCCCCGTGGCGTCACTGCTGATCAGTTCTTGTCCGAGACTGGCTGTGCCATCTTCCTGCCTGACGATGGCGACAACGACACCATCACTGTCATTGGTCCCCCGCAACATATTGACAATGGCATGGAGCACGCCATGGACCTGGCGATGAACATGCAGAGCTCGTCGCTCGACATTTCACGATTCCACAAGAACGCTCCTGGTGGCGGTGCCCAGCACGCACGAAACGTCACCAGGTTCCTGCGTCACCGTGGCCTTCTCGCTCAGCTTGAGGAGGCTCACAACTTCCACGCCAATACCCCTCGTGCCTCCGATGGCGGTGCTCTTCCCTGGGAGCTGTACGCACGTGATGGCAAGAATGCCTTGAAGGCTCAGAGCAGCATTAGCAGCCTTGTGAACGCCTTCCCTCCCTCCAGACTCTCGGCCATTCCCGTCGACCCCTTCTTCCACGCATATCTCCGTAAGGACGTCACTCCTCGCATGACGCAGTCTCACGGCGTCCACGTTATCCTTCCTGGCGCCGAGGACAGCGATGGCCCCGTTCTTCTTGTGTTTGAGGGACCCTCGGCTACCGAATCCAAGCCCGAGATTAAGCCTGGTGCCCCTTCGGCCGACGAGATCAAGGCTTTTCAGCAGGGCATTGAAGAGGCGAGCAAGCATATCCTCGACATCATCAACAAGCAAGAAAACATTACTGCTGCTTCTGTTGACGTGCCTCACAAGTTCCACGAGCGTCTTCGACGCTTCATCAAGAAGGAGCAAGCTCAGCGTGCTGCTGATCAGATCCCCGTGCGCGTCTCTTCGACGGGCACGACTGTCACTGTCCGTGGTCCCGCTTCTGCTGTCACTTCATTCGAGACCAAGATCAAAGAGTTTGTTGAACAGGAGAAGCAAGACGACAAGGAGCGTGGTTTCACCATGGACTTTGACTTCCCCCAGAAGTTCGCCAACCACCTCATTGGCAAGGGCGGTAGCAACATCAATGAGCTGCGTGAGCGCTTCGACGTCGAGATCCAGGTTAACGAGGGCAAGGTTGAGCTGAAGGGTCCTAAGGCCAAGGCCGAGGCTGCCAAGGCTCACATCCTTTCTCAGGGCAAGGCCTGGGCCGACGAGGCGACGCACATCATCAAGGTCGACCCCAAGTTCCACAAGGACCTCATTGGATCCCAGGGCAGTGTGATCAACCGCCTGCAGACGAAGTACAAGGTTGTCATCAACTTCCCTAAACCTGCCAAGGCCCCCAAGGAGGACGCCGCAAACGCCGATGCTGCCAGCGATGCTGGCAAGCCTAAGCGTCACCAGGAGCCTGACGAGGTCGTTATCCGTGGCCCTCGCAAGGGCGCGGATGAGGCTCGCGATGAGATTCTCTCCTACCTCCAGTGGCTCAAGGACAACTCTTTCACTGCCACTGTGACTGTGCAACAGAAGCAGGTCCCTTCGCTGATCGGACAGGGCGGTGCTGCCCTCGATGAGCTGCGTCAGAGCACTGGAGCCAAGATTGACGTTCCCGGCGAGCGCAACTCCGAGACTGCCGAGATCCAGATCAGGGGCCCTAAGGCTGCCGTTGCTGCTGCGAAGAAGGCGATTGAAGAGAAGCGTGCTATCTTTGAGGATACCGTTGTGAAGACGCTCGAGGTCGACAAGAAGTTCCACAGGGACCTGATCGGGCCCGGAGGTACGTTGTGCGGGATGGAAGATCGAGACATGAAATGCTGACATATCGTAGGTTCTATTCTCCGTGACATCGTTGTCAAGGCTGGTGGCTCTGATGACCGTCGCGAGCTCGCGCGCACCATTCAGTTCCCCAAGCAGGACGCCGAGGCCAACACCGTCAAGGTCGAGGGTCGCACGGATGTTGTCGACAAGATCTGCGCGCGGATCCTGGAGATCGTATCCGAGAAGGAGAACCAGGTCACCGAGATCCTGGAGGTTCCTACCGACAAGCACAGGACCCTTATCGGCAGGGGTGGCGAGACCAAGCGTCAGCTCGAGACGCAGCTGTCGGTTTCTATCGATGTGCCAAGACAAGGCGACGGCAAGACTGGCGTGAAGCTTACGGGCAGCTCCGAGAACGTGGCCAAGGCCAAGGAGCACATTGCTTCGCTGGTCAAGGAGCAGGAGGGTGAGGCGCTGCAGGTTCCCCGCAGCCTCCACCATGCCGTCTCGAACAACGGCCAGATCTTCCGTCAGCTGCGCAGCAACCACCAGGTCACGGTCAGCCACGACGGACAGTCGGTGCCAGCCAAGTCTTCTGCCACTCGCGCCAACGGCGGTGCTCTGCCCCTGATTACGGACGACGAGGAGACGACGGCCGATGCTCATTCTTGGAAGGTCGAGAGCGTCGGCTCCACCGAAGAGGGCGACATTGCTTGGGTGCTGCGCGGCCCCCCCGAGGGCATCGAGAAGGCCAAGGCCAGCATCAACAAGGCGATCGAGGAGGCCCGCAAGAACACCACTGTCGGCTATCTGATCCTTCCCGACCCCAAGACGTACCGTTTCGTCATTGGTCAGGGCGGCAGCACCGTCAACACGATCCGCAAGCACAGCGGCTGCAGGATCACAGTGCCTCGCAGCGACTCTCAGGAGGAGGCCATCGAGGTCGTCGGCACTGCTGAGGGTGTCGAGCAGGCGAAGGACCTCATCCTGGCGGCCGTCCGTGAGGGTCAGGTTCCCCGTGAGCCCCGCGAGTAGAAGGACATTGTCCGAAAAAATGACATGGCTGCCGGGTCTCGGTCCCGGCATGCGACGAGTTGGCGCGCCGGGTTGTAGCATACAATGAGAGTCTTTCATTCACAGATTGCGGGATCTCGGCACATCTGGGCGTGCAGGATAGGCAAAAAATGGGTGCTCTCTGGACTTGGGAGATGGTCCACGACGTGGAGCTTGCCATGTTGCAAGATTGAGGAACCAGCTCGTCCGTTCGTCCAATCCAAGAGTTTACGAGGATCTTGACGAAAGGATCACATGAAGTTGTTAGTTGAACCGCATTTAAGGCGAAAAAGAAGCATTATTCCCACCTTGTCGTTGCCGTGCATTCTGTCGTTGCCGTGCATTTGTCGTTGCTGTGCATCTGTCATTGCTGTGCATCTACTGTAGATTTAGCTGCAACATGTGAGGTAACAACTGCACATGCAGAGAGCGTAGCCCCCGCCCCCCTTTGCTGCAGTGTGGCGTTGAGGGGCATCCTCCCCACGGGCAAGTGGTCTCTTGGCTGATTGGGGTAGGGTACCTCAGCAGGTAATCGCAAGCGAGGGCCAGGGTCATCACCGAGGCTCAGGGCGACAACGAGCTCGTGATTGCAAGTATTGGGAGACCTCGGCTGCATGTATGGAATGGATGCATTGAGTCTTGGCGAGCTCTACCGGCACATCAGGACGTGATTTGAGAGGAAGAAATCGACTGTGTTGACTTCATACGTGTACATTACCCCGTACGGTACCTTACCCAGGGAGCGTAGGGTTGGCTGTATTGAATTGGATCAAAGTGATAGGGTGCCGCCTAGACATGTTGAGAGGCTAGTCGCATGACCTGCGCCTCTGTTCAGTGAGCGGATCCCAACGCAAACTTGACGCAATTGCCTCGAATCCGGGGCTTGGGCGCCTGAGCCTTAGAGCCTGGAGCCTTGGAGCCTGGAGGTTGTTATACCTATGTAGGGGAGGGAAGGGGGGGCAAGCAGCCTGCGGCTTGGCGTTACACCACGGGCACCCACGCACCCCCAGCTCCAGTGAAGCTCCGTCTCCAGTGGAGCTCCGTCTCCAGTGGAAAGTCAGTCACCAGCCGACCAGCCTCCACTTCAGCCTGTGCCCCAACCCCAGCTTACCTACCTCTAAGGTACCTACCTTAATGCACAGCAGGTACCTCAGCCTCTGCCTTCCAGCTCCTCACCAACCCGAACTGGCTGGCTTGCCTCGCTTGGACGTGGACAGACTTGGCCCAACCGTCACCAATATCAATCAAGCCTCGCGTCGCTACCTGGCTCCCGGAACCTTGTCAGGCCTACTCCTCTTCTCTCCTCCATCTACTCTCTGCTCTTATCCCCTTGCGGATCCTCCACCATTCCGTCTCTCTCTCTATTTCCGAGCTCCAAGTTTGTCGTCATCGCCTTTGCCACCTTTGTCCTCCTCCTCAGCATACTCCTCCGCGAACCCGCCGCCGCCGCCATGCCGAACTACAAGGAGGGTATCATGCCCTTGTACCAGGTGCACAAGCCACCCTTCACGATCGAAGCGCCTGGCTACGAGAAGGTTGAAGGCGAGACCCTTCCTCGTCGCAGCCCCAAAGCCAAGGATGGCCTTCGCAAGCGCCCCGCCGAGGACGTCAACACCATCTACGACATTGTCAAGCGCAGCGCCCGCGTCTACCCCAACGAGCCTGCCGCCGGCACCCGCAAACTGATCAAGCTGCACAAGGAGACGAAGAAGATTTCCAAGAATGTCGATGGCGAGATCCAGGAGGTCGAAAAGGAGTGGCAGTTCTTCGAGCTGTCGCCCTTCTCCTTCCTGACCTACACCGAGCTGCACAAGTATATTCTTCAATTGGGCTCCGGCCTGCGTAAGCTGGGCCTCAGCAAGGGCAACAGGCTGCACTTTTATGCCACGACACAGTAAGCAGCCCGTTCCATTCTACGCGGAACCCAATCCCCCCGCGCTCATGCTCCCGAGACACCGTGACTGACCACCGACGTTACCCAGCCTCAACTGGATGGCCTTGTCCCACGCTTGCGGCTCCCAGTCCATCTCTCTCGTCACCGCTTACGATACCCTCGGCGAGGAGGGCCTGGAGCACTCCCTCCTCCAGACCGATGCCGACGCCATGTATATCGACCCCCAGCTGCTCAAGACTGCCACCAGGCCGCTGAAGAAGGCCAAGACTGTCAAGTTCCTGATCTACAACGATGCTTCCCACTTTGCCACCGGCAATGAGGTGGAGGCTTTCAAGAAGGCGAACCCCGATACCACCCTCTACAGCATTGAGGAGGTGCGCCAGCTGGGCGAGGACAACCCCGTTGACCCTGTCGAGCCCAGCCCCGAAGATCTCTTCTGCATCATGTACACGTCCGGCTCGACCGGCCTACCCAAGGGCGTGCCAATGACGCATGAGAATGTGTTGGCTGCCGTCACTGGCCTCTACACCAACGTTGAGGAGTGTGTCAGCCACAATGAGTACATCCTGGCCTACCTGCCGCTCGCCCACATCTTCGAGATGGTCCTCGAGAACATCGTGCTGTTCATCGGCGGCACCCTCGGCTACGGCAACCCCCGAACGCTTTCCGATACCTCCATGCGAAACTGCGCCGGTGACATGCGCGAGCTGCGACCGACCGTCATGGTTGGCGTGCCTCAGGTCTGGGAGACTGTCAAGAAGGGCATCGAAGCCAAGGTCAACAGTGCTGGCGCCGTCACCAAGGCCCTCTTCTGGGGCGCCTTTAACTACAAGACGTTCATGAGCAAGAACAACTTGCCGCTCGCGACTGTTCTCGACTCTGTCGTTTTCGCCAAGGTTCGCCAGCTGACGGGCGGTCGTCTGCGCTTCACCATGAACGGTGCCAGTGGTATCTCTGACGGCACCAAGCACTTCCTCTCCATGACCGTTGCACCCATGCTCACGGGCTACGGTCTCACCGAGACGGGCGCCAATGGTGCCCTCGGCGACCCCCTCGAGTACACATCCAGCGCCATCGGCCCCGTCCCCGCCGCCGCCGACATCAAGCTCGTTTCCCTCCCAGAGCTCAACTACTCGACCGACAGCACCCCGCCCCAGGGCGAGATTCTCATCAAGGGTCCTGCCATCTTCAAAGAGTACTTCAACAACAAGGAGGAGACGGAGAAGGTGATCACCGCCGATGGCTGGTTCAGGACGGGCGACATTGGTGAGTTTGACGCCGTTGGTCACCTCCGCGTCATCGACCGCGTCAAGAACCTTGTCAAGATGCAAGGCGGCGAGTACATTGCCCTCGAGAAACTCGAGTCTGTCTACCGCGGCAGCCAGTTTGTCGCCAACATCATGATCGACACGGACCCCGACAGCGCGCGGCCTATTGCCGTCATCGCGCCCAACGAAAAGACCCTGACCGAGCTGGCGCAAAAGCTCGGCGTCGACGAGGCGCACCAGCACTCTGACCGCAAGGTCAAGGACACTGTTCTGAAGGACCTTGTCACCGTTGGCAAGAACGGCGGACTCGGCGGCATTGAGATTACCAGCGCCGTAGTGCTCGTTGAGGACGAGTGGACGCCCGCTAGTGTAAGTTGTCCTTGCCCCGGCCTACGTTTTGGACACTGTACTAATGGCTTTGTTTTTTCTCCAGGGCCTCGTGACTGCTACGCAAAAGGTGAACAGGAGAGCGCTCCGGGCGCACTACAAGACGCAGATTGCCAAGGCATTTGGCAAATAAGCGGCTCTGGTGTACTGTGGTGTGGTGTGGCTCGTGATTGAAGCAGAGGCGGGATTACCTGGGACAGGATGAGGGCGTATTGAGTGCAATCTACTTATTGAAACACGGCAATTCGCGCAGCAAAACAACTTTTCTCTGGCGTCCTGTACTTATATTTGCTGTTTCGTGAAGCGCTTGTTGTATTGCACTCATGTCTGACACTATCGTCTGTCCCGTCTATGCATGGAGGGCCAGATGTCATACTGTGGGAAACGCGGCTGTGTTGCTACTGGAATGTAGCTGCTGTCATGGGGGTCCTTTTAGACTCAAGGGTCCGCCGATCACTACGACGGTGCCATGTTGAGTCAGAAAGTCTAAGCGCAAACCCGGCTAGGCAACATGGGAGAAGGAGGGGGCGTCAGAGTAAGAGCAGGACAAACACATGCAACGTGTCAACGGCCGGCCGGCGCATTGTGTCTACAGTAGCTCCCGCCACCATGAAGGTCCGAAAACCAGACCAACCTCATCCGTCACCTCTGGGCTGGGCGAGACCACAAAGGACGGGTCAAGCACCGCGAGCGCCTCTGTCAGCCAACAGATTGAAGGGATGGCTTCATACATCAGCGGCGGCAAGCTATACCACAAGAGGGGGGCAAACTGCATGGCACACTGAACTGAGAGCCATTGTCACTTTTCACAAAGGAGGAAAAAGAGGCAAAGAATCATCAAAGACGGGCGTGTTTTCCATCTTTCTTTATTCCAGTATTCACGTCAAACACCACACGGATGCAGCCACACGCTCAGAATGAAGACCATGCACCGCCGTCGCTTTCGTCACCGCTGCTAAACAGAGAAAACGGAGATCGCTCATCCCAGACGCCATGCTAGCGCCTGAAAATAAAAGTCCAAAGAGCAAAGAGCAGAGAAAGCAATGAGCCGGCGCCCCTCCCCTCCTTCTCTATCAATCAATCAATCAATCAAAGACGCGTAGATACCGGGTATTGGCCCTCGAAAGACAAGATACACACTAAACACACTCGGGTACGAGCTACGCGCACGCCCAACCATGCCCCTCGTGCTCCACGACGAGACGCCTACAGCTTGCCTCCTGATGAGCCGGACTGCTTTCGCCGGAAGAATGCCAGGTACGGCGTGTCGTTGCTGTTGCCAAAGATCTCTGGTTGCCTTCCGACCTTTGAGATCTGCGAGTCGTTGAGCTTGTACCACATGCTCGAGTCGGCCAAAGTCAAGTCGCGCGCGTACGTAAAGTAATGGCCCGACGAGATATCGCGCCCCGCGTGGATGATGACGGCGTAGCATTCGTATTCATACTGGGGCGCGGGATGCTCAGTCCGATCGGTGGGGATGCGGTGGTCAGCGGTGTAGGGTTCCATGTTGAGCTTGTTGAGGTTCCAGGTAATATTGCGAGAGACCTTACCCTCGGCAACGCTGAAGCGGCTGAGGGAGATGCAGAGAAGCTCCGGCAGGCGAGGGTAATAGACAGCCTTCGTGGCGCGTGAGTTGCTGTGGCAGTTGTCGCACTGATACCCATCCAAGACCTCCTCGTTGCTGTTGAGGCTCAGGCACTGCTCAAGGGTCTGCAGCTTGGGGCTGTCAATGTGCAGCATGATCGTGTCGACTGGAGTCCAGGATAGTGTTTTGTTGTTGCACTTGGTGCACGTCACCACTTGAGCCTGGACGCCCCGCCAGTATCGATCAATGATGGATTGATTCGCGACAGAATACTTGTTCCACCACTCCGAGGCGCCCTGTATCAGGGACTTGTTATTGCGCATATCAGGGCTATCGTACTTTTCCTGGCCCTCCTTGTCGCGCTTGGTATTCGTCTCTTGGTGCAGCGCATCCATGAGCCAGGTCATAAACTCGGAGGCATCTTGCTGGCGGGAACTGCCGAATTGCTGCACAGAGTTGGCGTTGCAGAGTGACAGAGAATAGTCCTGAAAGAGTTAGCTTTCAATCATTTCGCTGTTATTATATCCTGGGCTTACCATCAATGTTTGGGCCTTCATCACAGGGAAGCTGCCTTCTGCCATCCAGTAGAACAGGTTGGCAATGATGCGCGCCATCAACCGTGGGTGGTCACTCTTCTCGTCTGACTTTCGTGGCAACACATACAGTTTATCCCAGTCCTTGTTCGCCAGCTCTCCTCCGAACCCAGGCGACAGGCGTAGCGACTGGATCAGACTGTTGGCGTAGCACCAGTTGTGGGGGTTATTGAGGCCAGTCATGTGTTGACCAGCGCTCTTTGACTTGCTGATCAAGGCTTGCGTTGTGCTGGCTGAACTGGTGTCGGTAAAGCCACTGAGCGTTGGCTTTGCGGCGGCTCGCTGGGGCATTTGTGGCATGCTGTTGCTTGTGAGAGGCCGAGGAGGTTGTTTGGGCGCGCTCGACACCATGGACTGCTGGCCAGTGCTAGAAAAGTCCCTCAGGAGCTCTCCGGGCGAGCGTATGATGCGAATGGTTTGATCCTCGTTGCCGATTCGCAGATTCCACTCATCGATTTTGCCTTGGGGAATATTTTTGGACCCAGGATATTTCACGCGGCTGGTGGTCGGCCTGACGGATGCCTGCGCCTTCCGAAGAATGAGCGGTATGCTGCCAGTGTCCGACGTCGTCGCTATGTTTTGCCTGCCGAATGTGTCGGTCCACGCATCCAGTCCTCCATCCAGCAGCTTGGACGGGTGGGGTAGCTCTTTACCGATAGAAAGTAGATCCAGCGCACGCTTCAACGTCAACAGGACTCCGTCTTCTTTTTTCGATATATACTTCGGAAGTTTCGTTGAGCTTTCATCGTAGAAGACAACGAGGTCAAACGTGTCTCGCGCCCGGAAGAGGGCATTATCTTGCTCTGGCGCCAAAACCAAAGCTTCCTCAATGGTACTACCCGTCACGTCTTTGCGAGCGAGGGTGGATGGCTCGATACACATTATGTGCTGCGATGGTATGTGACCCTCGTCATATGCCTCGCGTGGCCGAACGTCTATGAGAAGCACGCGTGCAGTCTTTTGCAAGTTAAGCAGTTCGTCGACGGTGATCTTCTCTGTTTCAGGGATCGTGAATTTTGGCTTGAGCACGGTGTCTTTCTGTTGGGGTGTCTTCACTTCGGAGGTTCCTCCTGCGGGTATTTTCCCAACAGAAGAGTCTCCCGTGGAAGTGCGGACGGGTCCAAAGTAATCATTTGTTCCTGGGTACCCAGACTTCGCCGATACAGATGGTGGTCCAGTAGTATATAATGAATTGGTGCTTGAAGGCAGGGCGGCGGCGGCATCCTCAAGAGTCTTTCCGGTGGCAGGGTTGAAGATAGCTTGTGGCGGCTTGGGAAGGTCTGTATTATTTATGCCGGGTTGGAAGAATGATGGATGATCCGTCGTGATAGCGTGTGGGTGGGTTTTGATCCGAGGATCCTGTCCAGAGAAAGCACGAGGACCTCCTAGGTTCTTGAACCGTGCCTGAAGATCGCTGACGTTCTTTACCGCGGGACGGCCCTGCAGTGATGGAGGCTTGGGCTGGATGACAGGTTTCGGCTTGCCATTCGTATCAGTCGGCACTGATCCTGGCCCTCCCCACTCCTTTCGATTGTCGGGTTGCGCAGGGCGCGACTGGGGCCGCACACCACTCCTTTTGTTATCCTCGATAATGGAAGCCTTGATCTTCTCGAATGTAGGGTGTTGCTCGTTGATCTTGCTCAGAAGGTTGTTGTACATGCGCTTGAGCTCCGGGCGACCAGCCTGGACCGAGACGTATTCGGGATGTGTTGGTATCAGACGAACAGTGATGGTGGCGGCCTGGATGAACTCGCGGAGAGCTTCAGCAGGGCGACCGAAATCGCGAAGTGCCTCGGCGGACCTGAGACCGCCATCGGTTCTTTCGAGAATCTTGCGCAGAGGTAGCTGCATGTCCATGTCGACTGGCCGCGAAGTCAAGTCATCGATGTGTGGCAACGGCGTCCCACGGTGGTTAGCACCCATTCCTCCGTTGCTACCCATGGTGGAGGGTTGCAGAGCAGCGGAGGTGATCGAAGAGGTAGCGAAACTCATATCAGCCGAGGAAATCTTCAAGCAAAATGCAGAGCGCCCAGAACATGTCGTGATCGTAAAAAGGACGTAAATCGGAGGGGGACAAGTCGCAGCCGCAGGTTCGTTATGTCGGTCAAGTCGGGGTTTAAATTGAGATGCAAAGCGCTCAAGTCGCAAAAGATCACGCTGTAATCGTACGCATTCTTCGGAACAAAGGCGTGGTAGAGTCGTGGGAGGTTGCGCCTTTGTTCGCGATGGCTTGGCCAGCCTACAAGTGATGGTGTTGTCAAAGGAAAGCTGCCCGAGGCAGTGGCAGGCCTGCCACCTTCGATCTGGGTCGACAGGGGGGGGGCAAGGTTAGGGGAGGGGGGTTCCACAATGGAGAAGTGGAGGGGCGAGTGGTACGTCTACAGTACAGTACAGAGGTGCCAAGGTGACATATTCGTGCCTCAAGGTGAAGCAGCGCCCTGGAGCCTTGCTCCCTGCACTGATTGACAGGGCCTAGAGCCTGCCAGTAAGCCTGAAGACAGGCGGGGAGCCAGGCGCCCAGCGGGGCACACCACAATTAAGGAAGTCGAAGCACCAGAAGGTGACGCAGCCTGCGCCACAGAGAGGTCCCCGCTAGCTTAACAGGTACTGTATCATGCTGCCTGATCGTCAAGTGACCTGGGTTAGGTGGCAGGCAACGGGCAGCTCAAGAGGGGCGGTTGCCGCAGCACGTCGTCATCGCCTCGGGCCAACCACCACCGGAGGCTGGAAGCTGGCGGCGCCAGCCAATGAGCAACTTAGTCAGCTGGGGTACGGGGTACGGAGCAGGGTCAAGCTGTGGCTTTGAGCATCGCGGGCATCAGGCAGACTCCAAACGCCGAGCTTGACATCTGCATCTTCCAACTTAGGCAAACAAACTTCATTCACCCCCGACGCCATCGCCATCGCCATCGCCTTGCAGTTCGTGGAACACTTCGATCGCCTACTCGTACGCCGCACAATCTGCAGCTTCATCCCTTGATCACCCCCGCCTCTAGACGACAACGCTGCTCCGACGACCATGATGGGTTGGTGGTCCTCATCCGCCAACACGGCTCTAGACGAGCAGATCGAAAAGGCCACCAGCAGCAGCCTGTATGTTCATCTCTTGACATACACGTCCTTCTCTGTGATTCTAACACTTGTTTCCGCAGCGAGGACATTGCCCTGAATCTCGAGATCTCCGATGTCATCAGATCCAAGACTGTTCAGCCTAAGGAGGCTATGCGCTCTTTGAAGAAGCGCATTGGCAACCGCAACCCGAATACACAGCTGAGCGCACTCAACGCACGTTTGATCCGTGGTTCTCCGACGGAATCGCCAGGCTAACAACACTGAGCAGCTTACTGATACCTGTGTCAAGAATGGAGGCACCCACTTCCTTGCCGAAATCGCCTCCAGAGAGTTTATGGACAACCTGGTGTCACTTCTCCAAGCTGTGGGGGCGGTGGCTGTAAACGCCGAGGTCAAAGCCAAAATCCTTGAGCTTGTGCAATCGTGGGCAGCTGCTACAGAAGGACGGCATGACCTGGGATACATCGGTGAAGTCTACAAAACTCTGCAACGCGAAGGTCACCAATTCCCTCCCAAGACCAGTGTCTCCAGCAGCATGATTGATAGCAGCGCCGTAAGCCGGTTTTCTTCGATGATCGTGTAAGGGGCTCTTGCTAACTAGGGTGCAGCCCCCCGAATGGATAGACTCCGACGTCTGTATGCGATGCCGAACTGCCTTCACCTTCACAAACCGGAAACACCACTGCCGAAACTGTGGAAACTGCTTCGACCAGCAATGCTCGAGCAAGTCCATACCACTTCCACACCTCGGCATCCTCCAAGCAGTCCGTGTTGACGATGGCTGCTTTGCGAAGCTTTCTGATAAGAGCGGCCGCGGGAGTCAGGCAGGTGCGTCGCAAGACAGGACGCCGACTTATCCGCACAAGACACGGAGTACCTCCGCCATGCAGCCACGGAGCGCTCGAGCCGACGAGGGTTTCGACGAGGATCTTAAGAAGGCGTTGGCTATGAGTCTGGAAGAGGTCAAGGGCCACTCCAAGGGATACGTTGAGCCGAAAGTCAACGCCCCGGCAGGCGCAAACGCCGGTGGCAAATCCGCCGCCGCCAGACAGGCTGAGGATGACGATGATGACCTCAAAGCTGCCATAGCTGCATCGCTGGCTGATATGGAGGAACAAAAGCAGCGACATGCGGCCGCGTTTAAGGAACAAACGTTTACAGCGCCGTCTGCTGCGACATCCACTTTTGCACTTCCGAAGAACGATTACGAGTTGACTCCGGTGGAAGCCGAAAACATCAACCTGTTCGCAACGCTTGTCGACAGGCTTCAGACGCAACCGCCTGGCACGATTTTGAGAGAGCCGCAGATCCAGGAGCTGTATGACAGCATCGGTGCCTTAAGGCCGAAGCTTGCGCGGACATATGGAGAGACTATGAGCAAACACGGTCAGTTCACCTCTGATCAAAGTCGTAAGACTTCCAAACTAATCAGGCATGCAGATACACTGTTGGACCTCCACGCCAAGCTATCCACCGTGGTGCGATACTACGACAGGATGCTGGAGGAGCGCCTTTCCAAGGCATATCACCAGCACACCATTGGAGGCTACAACATGCCGCCACCCCGCCAAACCTCTTACCCATCTATCCAGGGCGGCGTTCCGGGCGCGGCCGAGAACTTCTACACTGGCGAGCCGCGACAGGACTACGGACAAGCGCCGCAGATGTACCCACCACACCCCCAGCAAACCCCACAGCCACAGTATGCGTCTTACAACCATACGAGCGCTGCTTCGGGTCCTCCTACAGGACAGTATCCCCATCAGGGAGTCCAGCGAACCGATAGTTGGAGGAGCGGGACAGGGCCTCCTGAAGGTCAGTACCCTCCATCAGGATACCCAGCCGAAGCTCCACCTACGCAAACGAATATACACCAAGGTCACGGCCAACCCGCCGAGACACCTTCCGCCGACCCCAATGCCGCGGCAGCATCATACTACTATAATCCTCAACAACCCAGCGCCCCATCATCAGCGCCGCCCAGCGTTGACCCTAATGCGTCTCCCTATCCTAACCTCCAACAGCAACAACACTACCATCAACCTCCTGGACCGCAACAGACGCCTGCCCCGGGCAGCGCGCCTGCAGGCCAGCCTAATCAGCATCAAGCTCCACCTTCGCAGCAGAACTACTGGCAGCCTTCAGTACCGCAGCAATCCTCGCAGCAGCAACAACCATGGAACAATCAGCAGCAGCAGCAGCGATATCCTGGATACCCGCAGGAGGCGGCGCCACCGGCCTCACAGGCTGCCCCAAAACAGCCAGCTGTGGAAGAAAGCCTGATTGAGCTGTGAAGAAGCAGCAAGGAGAAGGGCCGCCGAGAAGGGGCATCTGAGCGAGAATTGCGCACCGGGCGTGAAGATACTGTGATGTTCGTGTTGTGGAGGAGCAGGTCCTGCTAGTTAGTTGGGATCAAAACTGTAGTGCAGGCTACTCAAATAATTGCATTATCTGTATGAAGTTGTTTGTGAACTGGTAGATATTGTGAGTCAGCTGGGTGTGGGTGTGTTGCTAGTGTTTGTGGGAAGTGCAAGAGGGACAATTGGCTTGCAACCAAAATCGCGTTCGGTCTGCTTGATGTGCTGTTTGATTTCTCATTGTCTCAATGAGAGGACCTATTAAACGGCGAGATTCTGCCATCCACGTCCACAGCCGTTCCTTACCCAGTATAAAGTTGAGCCATCAGGGGTCTCGCTGACCCAGAGAGGCATCAGCGTCAGCTTTCACCCGCCAACCTTGAATTTCTTATCGGAGTTATGTGTACTTCGTGCCTTATAGGGACCGCGACCAGAGCCGCGGGCCTGAATGGGTTGCTGCGCAGCTACTGCCCTCATTCTTCACCATTCACCTCTTGGGGACTCGACAGCTCATTGTTACAACGAACATAAGAAGTGATTGTTGAATATCACTCGTCTCAAGCTCTATTCATTTTCAAGCCACGAAATCGCGTCCTGAAAGCGTTCCTCGGTCTGCACCTACACAGCGCCGCATCACACATCTCTTCAACATGGCGCCGATCCCAACCCCGGCCGGCTTTGCCCAGGGCTTTCTCTCCAACCCCGTACGCTCCCTGTGGAACTGCGAGATCGAAAACCTTTTCGCCGCCGTGACGACCAACCCCAAAGCGCCCATGTCATCCACCGTCTACGCGTATTGCGTGCTGACGGTCCAAGCATTCCTCGAACGCGGGGCCGCCGCCGCCGACGATGCCTTGGAGGAACTCGCCACAGCCCGGGCGTATATCGGCCTGTACAAGAGACGCCAGAAGTGGCGCCGGGGTGGCTGCGAAGCCGGCGTGGATTACGATGCCGTGGTGCGGGTCTTTGGTACCAACGCGACTACGAGGGCTCCTTCTGTTCGGTATATATTTGAGTGCCGCCGACATGCGCATGTCATCGCTGCTGGATTCGCGTCAGCACGAGCTGGTCCTGTTATTCTCGCACCTCATGACGAATGTCCTTCGCCTTGGGCCAACGGCTTCGCCTGCTTCAAACGCAGGAACTTGGATCGGTACCATGACAACACTGATGGTAGTTGCGACGGCGCGGCGCGGGCTGCCAAGAGGATCCGTGTCAAAACGGCACGGATTGGGCTCGCGGGCTGGAGTACCATGGCCCAAACAGCCGCTGCCGAGTTTCATCTGGAGATGGCATACGATAACTTTGGTTATGGCTTTCAGGGAGACCCCCAGCCTACGCTTGCGAGCCTTTCAGAGGCGGACGTGGGTACCCATGACGAGCGAGAGAAAGGTGCCAGACTGGCAGAGGCAGGAGGAAAGGAGGGAAACTGGGAGGATGAATGCGAGTTGGCACTGTTGATGGGAGACGAGAAAGATTTCGATCCGGAGCAACTTGAAGAGGGAGTGAATTTCTGGAGGGATTTCTAGAGACAGGGGCGGCTGTTTGTGGTACGCTGCATTGGGATGGGAAGTTTGGGTGGGCGTGTTTCTCCTGGGGTTTGTTTTTGCTGGCTTGTGAAATTCAACTGTCATTCATTGCAAGATCCAAAGGCAACAGCACATGGAAATGTTGTCGAAACACCTTGGATTTGTGTGACAGCCGAGACGCCTTGGATCTGTGAGGCGTCTTCAGAAAAGAGGGGCAAGTGCAATCCGAGGCAGGCAGTCTGGGCGTCGGCCAATGATGAACAGCAAAGCCGCCACGCACTCTGACTGGCGGCGCCTCCACGGCAGCCACAGGGCTCGGAGGGCGAATGCTGCTGCGACACCGAGCGAAAGGATACCGATCACCGGCAAGTCGGCCTTTTCCTTTTCGGACCCAGAGTACGAGCCAAGTGGAGCTCCGGTCCGGACGTGATTTGAGTCATCCACTGGAGGAGGAAAAGGGCGCTGGCAGGACCTTGGAACCTTGTGGATCTGCAGCTGCTTCGAGGTGGTACATGTACCTGACGTCGTTGTAGTCATCGTCACCGTTACTTCGTTGGCCTGCATTTATTTGTCCTGGACAGGTGCAGATCTCACTAACTTTCATCGTCACACTTGTCACAAAACTTCTTCGACGAACACCTGTCAGCCAGGTCACTACATCTCTTCACATACTTATCCTCGCTGCTGTCACCACTCGCCTCACTCGCCAAACACATTCAACATGCCTGTCACGATCCACCTCGTCCGCCACGCCCAGGGCTTCCACAACCTCTCTGTCGAAAACGAAGCCCTGCCAGACCCCCTCCTCACAGACCTCGGCCTCAAGCAGTGCGCCAACGTCCGCGCGACTTTCCCTGCCCACGCCTCCCTCACCCACCTCGTCGCCTCGCCCATGCGCCGCACCCTCCACACCTGCCTCAACTCCTTCGGCCCCACCCCCGAGGACCCCAAGCCGGCGGTCCTGCTCCCCGTCATCGCCATCCCTGAGCTGCAGGAGGTCAGCAACTCGCCCTGCGACACAGGCACCGACGTCGCCGTCGTGGCCCCCGAGTTTGGCGCCAGGGCCGACTTCTCGCGCGTCCCCGCCGGCTGGAACGACAAGGAGAGCGCCTCCTCGCCGTGGGAGCCCACCCTCGACAAGCTCGAGGCGCGCGCGACCAGGGCGCGCCTCTTCCTGCGGGACCTGGCGCGCGCAAGCGGCGAGGAGGACGTCCACATTGCTGCCGTGTCGCACGGCGCGTTCCTGCATTTCCTGACCGCTGACTTTCACGGCATTGAGGTGCCGAGAGGTATGTCCTGCTTGTCTCTGCTGACCTTTTTTTTTTTTTTTTTTTTTTTTTACATATTCTTTCTTCTTTTTTAAATCCTCCCTCCATCTTTCTATGGCCCTCTATTTGGCCTTTTCTTCCACTTGCCTTTCACCTCGGGAGTGATCGCTGACTCCTTTCGCAGCTACGGCTTGGGAAAACTGCGAGTTCCGCTCGTACCAGTTCGTGGACCCCGCGGGCGAGGACCCTGCTGCGCTGCTCCGCGAGACGGACGAGAGCTGGGCCAGGAGGAGCAAGGAGGCCAGGCCTACGGGCGAGCAGCTCGAGGAGCTGAAGCAGACATTTTACCGCGAGTTTGGGCCCCTGTTAAAGCACCAGTACTAGGTCTTTCGTGCTTTTGGCATGATGAGTTGAATGATGGGACGATACGGGGCTCGAGATATGATTTGAGTTAGAAGAGAAGGTTTGTACGCTCTGGGATAGATGAAGATACAGTAGACGTCCTAGATAGCATTAAGATTTGTTTCACGTTTCCTCGTATTATATCTCTGCGTCACACTTTCAAGTCCGGACCCTGAGGACATCCTAGGGTGGACCACAACCATAAAACGTCCGTCAACTTCATCATGTCATGTTGTCATGTGCATTGATGTGCAGGAGTCTATCCCGGCCTCAGACCGAGCTTCTATCGGCATAATACAAAGGTTGGTATAATCCCGTGCACCCCGTCCGCTCGAAACAAACCAGCCGCCTTTTTTGATTTAGAAGTCCTCCTCGCCAGACCCAGACACAATGACGTTGTTGACCTTGAGCACCATGCGGCACAGCTGTGTCGCCAGCTGGAGCTGCTGCTTCTTGCCGATCAGGGGGTCGATGACAAAGGCGTCCTTCATGTTGTTGTTGCCGCGACCCATGCAGTCAACGCCGAGCTTGCCGCGGTCGCTGGGGCCGGCCTTGGCCTGCTGGCTCTTGATCTCGGCCAGCGTCGAGATGGGGTTGAGGCCAGAGTTCTGCGCCAGCGCCATCGGCACGGCGTCGAGGGCCTCGGAGAAGGCGCGCATGGCGTACTGCTCCAGACCGGGCGTCTTGACGGCCGCGTCCTCGACCGCCAGCGAGCAGGCAATCTCGGCCGCGCCGCCGCCGTAGACGACGCGGTTGTCGCGCACCAGGTTGCGGACGACGCAGAGGGCGTCGTGTAGTGACCGCTTGGCCTCGTCGATGATCTGTTGCCGTTAGCCTCTGCCTGCCTGTGCTTTTGGCTCCGCGTTCCCAACTTACCATCTTGTTGCTGCCCCTGACAAAGACCGTCACCGCTCGTGTGTTGGCGCACTCCTCAATGACGAGCATCTTTTCCCTCGTCGTGCCGAACGACATTTCTCTGACAATGCCAGCACGTCCCAGCTTCTCCGCCTTCAGGTCCTCGAATCGCGGCACTATCCGGCCGTTCGTCGCAATCGCCACCAGCTCAATCTCGGGTCCGCCGACCCACCGCACGGCAGGCAGCTTGTTCTGGAGCAGGAGATGGTTCGCCTCGTCGTCAAAGCCCCACTGGCAGATGGCCAGGTTGGCACCCGTGTCCTTGATCTGCTGGATCATCTCGATGAACTTTTCGCGCTCGTAGTTTTGCAGCTTCTTGAACTCCTCGACGGACGTAATGTCGAGCTTGTGCTTGGTCTTGGGCTTGGGCGGCTCAAAGGCGCAGGTCAGGATGGCGATCTTGGCGTCCTTGACCTCGGAAGGCATCTGGGGGTGGGAGAAATCCTTGTCGATGATGACGCCCTTGACGAGGACGGAGTCCTCGAGCGCGCCGCCGACCTTGCCGTCGACCTTGATCAGCTCAAAGTCGACGTCCTTGCGCTCGAGATCCGCAACGGACAGCACGGCGTCGACGGCAATGTTGGCAAACTGGTCGTGCGACTTGGAGACAATCTTGCTGCCCAGACTTGTGCGCGCAACCTTGACCAGGTTCTCTGTGTCCTCCTTGCTGAACTCGATCGTGTCGGAAATCTTGTCAAGCTCGGCGACGGCAATGTCGCAGGCCTGGTCGTAGCCGTCGGCGATGCGGATGGGGTGGATGCCCTTGTCGATCAGCTCGGCCGCCTGCTCGAGCAGCGCACCGGCCAGGACAACGACACCGGTTGTTCCGTCACCAATCTCGTCGTCTTGTGACTTGGAAAGCTCGACCAGAAGCTTGGCGACGTGGTTGGAGATTTCCATCTGTTGCAGGATCGTCGCACCATCGTTCGTGACTGTGATGTCGCCGTCGGGGGAGATGAGGATCTTGTCGAGGCCGCGGGGACCGAGAGAGCTCTTGACGATGTCGGCGACCGTCCTCGCGGCGAGGATGTGGTTCTTGACGGCCTCGTTGCCGTACTGACGCTTCTTCTTGCCCTGGCTGTTCAAGGGGGTCAGTGGGAGGGGGACAAGGCGGGGGGGCCGCTACTGAAAGGCAGGGGATGGCATGAGTCGGACATACTCTCGAACAACGATGAAGGGGCGGCCCTGCTCATCCTTCATCACCGCCGCTGTGCAAACCGGTCAGTTGTTGGTTCGTGGGGGGAGGGGTCGGTGTAGGCTCAGGGGGTCGACAATCAGGCAGCGCATACCATTGCTCATATCCAGGTCTAGGACGTAAGTTAGCAAACTACTGGAACAGTAGAGGATAGCAACTACTCACTCATCGCCATGTTGGGAGCTTTTTTCAGTTACAGAAGCTCTACCAGGGTTTGTTGAGGGGTATCGGGCGACGTTGTAGGAGGTAGCGGGTATCGTGGACTGAAGTCGAGATTAGTGAGCTCCAGCTTGCACGTCGCCCAGGCCAAAATTTCTGAATTTCGGAGCGCTGCTGTCTGCTTCCAGGCTCCCCCAAAAACCACGTCACGTGCAAGTGGTGGGCCATGCCGGGCGCCCCGCAAGTTGAATGCAGGGTAAAGGTACCTCTCTCTGAACATGACTGAATACTTCGGTCGCTTGCATCTACAAAATTAACCGTGGATTCGGTTTTGTTTATGTATAGACTCACTAGCCTCATGGCTCTTCGCCAGTCTTGGATTTGACTGTTCTGCCCACAGACATAAGCTCTATGATGCTCTCGCGTCGGTGTAAAGGGTGATCGTAAGAAGCCTCTCACCGCCTGCCTAGCCTGGCCCAGACGAGGGCGGGCTTTGGGCTCCCAACTGCCCTGTTCTTGTGTTTGTACCCCGCCACTGAGCACTGCTGCCCCGCCAATGACGACCAGATCAAAAGTCGGGCTACATACACCGTCCCTCACCCTCACGAGCACAAGCACGACTAGGCATCATCACCTTCTACCCTTCTCAGGATTCGAGTAACTCTCTTGTTTGAACATCCTCCCTCCATTCCTCCGTACATCTGCCAGTGCTTCAGCTCGAGCCACAGCCAAGCTTTCGTTTGAAGACAGTTCGACGTCACTCGATAGCCCTCCACGGCTTCTTGCATTGCAGCTCGAACCCCTCTCTCCCTTCCGTTCTTTGACGCTGAGACGTCTTTTCCAAGATGTCGCGCCATCAGGCCGTCCGTAACTTGGACTATGAAGAAGTCCTCGACGAGTACGATGCTGATGATGGTGAGCTCGGCGCGGATCAGCTTACCCCTGAGGATCGCGATGCGTTAGCCAAAGGGGCTGAGCAGGTCCGTGAGACCCTGGGAAGCGCCGCTGGGTCTTTGACGACCCAGCAAATACACGACGCCCTGTGGTACTACTATTACGACATTGAGAAGACGGTCGACTATCTGTTGAAGAAATACATCACGCCGCCAACTCCCAAGTCTGAGCCCAAGAAGCCGAAGGAGGGTAAGTCGCTCATTTCATTCATCGCGTCAAGTTGGAAACAGGGACCAGGAAGTGCAGAAGTTGAGCGTTCGGTAGCCGGCAGGACAAGACAGCAGATGCAAAGTGACGTTGGCAACTTCGGCATGACCTCCTCCTATGGAATCCCATCAACCACCCCTTGGCCGCCTCCGTCCTGGTATTTCGAAGACATGCCCTGGATGAACGTGCCAAAACACCGGCGAGCCATCATGACTCCCCCCGTCTTGCCCGTGGGCGGGCTTTTGGGTGGTGGCGAAGGGCCGAAGATCTCCAAACTCCAAGCGCTTGCCGCAGCCCGTAAGAAGAAGAGCGAAGCCGTGAAGAAGCCCGACGAGCCGGAGGAACGGACACAGAAGCGGTTAGCCGAGCTCAACATCAACGAGCAAACCTACTCAGAGAACGTCAAGCCCGGCTCAAGTATACTAGCGAAACGTCAAAAGCTGGTGAGCGCCAATTCAGGCGGCAAAGCAATGTCCGCAGAACAGCCCCTTCCGATTCCATCAGGACCGTCCCCACTCACCACCATGGAAGCGGACGAAGCCCAGAATGGACAGTCATCAGACCCTGCGCCAGCAGATGAACAAGCAGTCACGTCAACGTCCCGGCCGTCCGCCTTTGCTCACGTACTCTGTGGCTTGTCTGCCGGTTCTGCCGACCCCTCAACTGATACTTTCAACCTCCCTTACAAGTCATCCCCCTTGTTCAACTCTGCAGCGTTTGACCAGCCCAGCCCCGATGACATAGTGCTCGCGGCGCAGGCCAAAGGTTCGCGATTCGCGAAGAATCAATGAGGCGCTGACTCTGATTTCCTCCATAGCGGGCAACCGGTTTGACGCTGCTGCAGCAAAGAGCGCCACCGCCGCCAAGAAAGCTCCCAAGTCCAACGGAGGGCCGCCGACAGAAGCTGTCAAGGATCTCTCACTGGACGATGCTCCACCCCCGAAGAGCAAGAAGATCAACGTGCTTCAAGAGTTCGAGAACAGCAAGAGCAAACGCAGCGCAAGCTTTGTGGTAGTTGGTGCGTAGAAGCTACCCCGAGTCTACTGAGCTTTGCTGACAGCTCCAGGCCATGTCGATGCAGGCAAGAGTACGCTCATGGGGCGGCTTTTGCTAGAGCTCAAGTTTGTTGAACAGCACTTGATCGACAGATATAGACGCCAAGCAGAGAAACTGGGCAAGTCATCATTTGCGCTCGCATGGGTCATGGATCAGCGAGAGGAGGAACGTGAACGTGGCGTGACCATCGATATCGCCACCAACCAGTTTGAGACCGACAAAACTCAGTTCACGATCCTTGACGCCCCGGGTCACAGGGATTTCGTTCCTAACATGATTGCCGGAGCCAGTCAAGCTGACTTTGCCGTCCTCGTCATCGATGCCAATACCGGAGCTTTCGAGAAGGGCTTGAAGGGCCAGACGAGGGAGCACGCATTACTATTGAGGAGTCTCGGCGTCCAACGTGTCATTGTCGCCGTCAACAAGCTGGACATGGTTGGGTGGTCTGAGGAGCGGTTCAACGAGATTTCTGAGCAGGTCACCGGCTTCATGAAGGGCAACGGCTTCCAGCTGAAGAACGTCACTTTCGTTCCCATTTCTGGACTCAACGGCGATAACTTGGCGGTCAGATCCGAGGACCCCGCGTTGTCTTGGTACAGGGGCGAAACACTGATTCAGGCCCTCGAGGATTCCGAACCACTGGCCCGGGCTCTGGAAAAGCCATTCAGAATGTCCATCTCGGAGATTTTCAAATCTCAACAGAGCCAGTTGACAATATCAGGTCGCATCGAATCTGGAACTGTGCAGACGGGCGAGAGCATTGTGGTGCAGCCTAGTGGAGAACCGGCCAGCATTCGTTCTATTGAGGTTGATACCGAGATTCAGGACTGGGCGGTTGCTGGACAGAACGTGTCCTTGGGTGTCTACGGTATCGATCCCATCCATATTCGAGTGGGCGACATCATCAGCAGCAAGGCGGAACCAATCGAGACCAGCGACTTGTTGACCATGAAAGTGCTCGCCTTTGAGCACCTGATGCCCATGCCTGTCGACGTCCATCGAGGTCGACTACATGCCGCCGGCCGAATTCAGTCGATCCCGGCGGTGCTCAACAAGACTACGGGCGCAACGGAGAAGAAGAACCCCAAGGTTGTTGCGCCTGCCAAGGTTGCACGCGTCGTGGTCAAGCTGGAGTCAAAGGTGCCTCTGGAAGCTGGGCAAAGAGTCGTGCTGCGAATGGGCGGCGAAACCGTGGCAGCCGGTCTTCTAGAGTAGCTAGCGAGGATTACCAAAAATACGCAGGAAACGGAGTCATGATGCATCCAAAGGAAGCGAATGGGAGGCTGGCATGTTTCGGGGGTATCGCTGGAGGTTGGGGGTGCCACATGAGGGCATGATGGGCACTGCATTTTTAGTCGCGTTTCAACTAATGGAAACCATCCCGAATGAGGAATCGAGGGAACATGCAGGCAACTCCCGTGTTGGTTCCTGAGCCGGCCAGCTGAGGGACAGACAGCCTCTCCCGCTCGACAAGTGGGCAGTCTGAAGCGTCGACGTGTCTTGAACCCGATATCCTGCGTCACGCTTGTTGCAAAGCAATTCGAGCTTCTGGCCACGGAGGCTTTCTTTAAGCATAAGACGAGTCGTCGTTGATGAGAAATCACGTCGCTTTCGGAGACAGCCATCCGTTCCTACACCCCGCAGCCAGATTGGGCCAGAGCTCGAGTGCCAGAGCCCCGCATCACCAGGGTCTGGGGGCAGGGGGCAAGAAAGGCCACGATGTCAAATGACAGCGGTAAAGGCAAAGATATATGCCAGGCGGAGGAAGGCATCGCCAGCAGGTCAGAGACGTGACAGCCTCGTGAGTCACTGTGGTGGCCAACCTGGAAGATGGAATAGTATGGAACACCTGATTCCTTGACCGCTGAGCTCATCGAAATGTCTGGAATACTTCAGGCCCTGGATCCTGCATCGTGTCCCCACGAAGTTTGCCCATAGCGCCAAGGGTGGAGGCGCTAAGGTTCTTGTCAACCCGCCGGTGGCTCGTGCGTGGCTGATCATATCATTCGCACTGTAAGCTCTTGTCCTCAAGGCGCAGATCCAGGGCGGTGAATGATGTGCTCACAGTGTATAGACACGTGTTCGATAAGCGGTCACAATGGCGATAACCACTTGAACCCCTGCCAACTGTGGCGCTCTTGCTGAAATCTGGCCTTTTTGTGCAATGGACAGCTTGACTTTCTGACGCCTTCTTTTGGGGAAGCTCACTTCATAAAGGTTTCCATTCTTCCCTCTGCCCTTCACCCTTCCGATTCTTCAACCCAACTCCCCTTCCCTCCAATTGACCCACGCCATCATAACCGGCTGGAGGTAGAATTCCCTTCGCTGCGTTCCTAACACTTCTTTCTTCCTTTATATTTCCCGTTGCTGCGCGATACCCAGGATAAGAGCGCGATCCGAACCATTTCACACAAAACATGTCGAGGTCTCGCAACTCGATGGCCATGGGCTTCGGCCTGTTGGCCTGGATCTGTCTCCTCTTCGCGCCTCTGGCCCTTGTCCAGACTGTGCACGCTGAGGAGCCTGAGAACTACGGTACCGTCATTGGTATCGATCTTGGAACCACCTACTCTTGTGTCGCTGCCCTCCAGAAGGGCAAGGTTGAGATCTTTGTCAACGACCAAGGTACGGACACCTGGCCTCTCACGAAATTGCGACACGCTTGCTGACCCTACTCGCCAACAGGAAACCGTATCACCCCCTCTTACGTCGCTTTCACCGAGGATGGCGAGCGTCTCGTCGGTGACGCCGCCAAGAACCAGGCCGCCGCTAACCCTTACAACACGATCTTCGATGTCAAGTAAGCTGCCAGCCAACTGCTTTTATCTGCTCACAACGACATATCATGCTGACCAAGTCTCTAGGCGTATGATCGGATCCAAGTTCAGCGACAAGAACGTCCAGGCCGATCTCAAGCACTTCCCCTACAAGGTTGTTGCCAAGAACGAGAAGCCTTCCATCCAGGTCTCTGTCAACGGCGAGGACAAGAACTTCACTCCCGAGGAGATCTCCGCCATGATTCTCGGCAAGATGAAGGACACCGCTGAGGCCTACCTCGGCAAGAAGGTCACTCACGCCGTCGTCACCGTCCCCGCCTACTTCAACGACAACCAGCGCCAGGCCACCAAGGATGCTGGTATCATTGCCGGCCTCAACGTCCTCCGTATCGTCAACGAGCCCACCGCCGCCGCCATCGCCTACGGCCTTGACAAGCTCGACGGCGAGCGCCAGATCATTGTCTACGATCTCGGTGGTGGTACCTTCGATGTCTCTCTCCTGTCCATTGACCAGGGCGTCTTCGAGGTTCTTGCCACCGCCGGTGACACCCACCTTGGTGGTGAGGATTTCGACCAGCGTGTCATCAACCACTTCGCCAAGCTCTACAACAAGAAGAACAACGTCGACATCACCAAGGACCCCAAGGCCATGGGCAAGCTCAAGCGTGAGGCCGAGAAGGCCAAGCGTACCCTCTCTTCCCAGATGTCCACCCGTATTGAGATCGAGGCCTTCCACAACGGCAACGACTTCTCTGAGACTCTGACCCGCGCCAAGTTCGAGGAGCTCAACAACGACCTCTTCAAGAAGACCCTCAAGCCCGTCGAGCAGGTGCTCAAGGACGCCAAGGTCGAGAAGAGCGAGGTTGACGACATCGTCCTCGTCGGTGGTTCCACTCGTATCCCCAAGGTTGTCTCCCTCATTGAGGAGTACTTCAACGGCAAGAAGGCTTCCAAGGGTATCAACCCCGACGAGGCTGTCGCCTTCGGTGCCGCCGTCCAGGCTGGTGTTCTGTCCGGCGAGGAGGGCACTGAGGACATCGTTCTCATGGACGTCAACCCCCTTACTCTCGGTATTGAGACTACTGGCGGTGTCATGACCAAGCTCATCAACCGTAACACTCCCATCCCCACCCGCAAGTCCCAGATCTTCTCCACGGCTGCCGACAACCAGCCCGTGGTTCTTATCCAGGTCTTCGAGGGTGAGCGTTCCATGACCAAGGACAACAACATCCTCGGCAAGTTTGAGCTCACCGGCATCCCCCCCGCTCCCCGTGGTGTCCCCCAGATCGAGGTCTCCTTCGAGCTCGACGCCAACGGTATCCTCAAGGTCTCCGCCCACGACAAGGCCACCGGCAAGGGCGAGAGCATCACCATCACCAACGACAAGGGCCGTCTCACTCAGGAGGAGATTGACCGCATGGTTGCCGAGGCTGAGAAGTACGCCGAGGAGGACAAGGCCACCCGCGAGCGCATTGAGGCTCGCAACGGTCTTGAGAACTACGCCTTCTCCCTGAAGAACCAGGTCAACGACGAGGAGGGTCTCGGTGGCAAGATCGAAGACGAGGAGAAGGAGGCTGTGAGTATTCCCCAATATATCTGGACCCATAAGTACATGACTGACTGTTCTTTCAGATTCTTGAGGCTGTCAAGGAGACCACCGACTGGCTCGAGGAGAACGGCGCCGAGGCCACCGCCGAGGACTTCGAGGAGCAGAAGGAGAAGCTGTCCAACGTCGCCTACCCCATCACCTCCAAGATGTACCAGGGTGCTGGTGGCGCCGGTGGCGAGGCTGATGAGCCCGCCTCCCACGACGAGCTCTAAATCCCTACTAGCTAGCTTCTGGGAGTTTGTTGTTGTTGATAACAGTTCAAAGCACAAAAAAGAACGAGAATCATGCATGACGCTGGGAGGTGCTTCTCACCGCGCGCGCAAACGCCGCCCGCCGTGTTTTTCTGATTTAAAACCCCTGGTGTTGGGCAGGTTAATCGGCGCAGGCAGCATTGGCGGAGAGGACGACGCGCCCTCCGCCGGGCATGTAGACTACGGGAACATGACATTAGTGAAATCTGAGCCGTTGAAAACAGACCCTTGGTGACTTGCGGTGACATGACTTCTGGGAACATGTGCCTAGAATAATCCTACCGCACCTAGTATTTCACAGCAATGAATATCTGATGCCAGCGGCGGGGATAAACATAAGACGGTCATCCAGACGAGCATGCCTCGTGCTGCTTCAGCCTCCACCAGACTACTGATGTCCACTCTTGTGGTGCATTGGCAGAACAGCCTATGATTATCAGCGTACCTACGCCCCGTACACAATCGCCGCACAGTCTCTGCTCGCTTTCCTCTGCCTTGCGTGGTGGAATTCAAATCGGATCAACAACTGACGAATCTCGCTCTCTCCCGCCGTCGACGAACGGGGGAAAAAAAGAAAAACAACAAATCTTGGTAATAAGTGCGCATCTCCCCCCTCCCCGTTTCCCAACGCATCTCATGCTGCCATTCGCTCCAGCTCTGGTCTTCAATGCCCAGGTTCATCGTTCCTGTGGTGTGCCTCGCAGCCTACGACCACGACGGCTGTCCCCTCTCGAGAGCGGGTGTGGCAACGGCATTCTTGTCTGCGAAGGGATCGTCGTCGTCTTCGTCGTCGTCATCATCAAACTGCTGGACGGGCGGGCGGGGCGGCTTCGTCGGCCCTGGAGTATTGGCAGGCGACACAGATGCGGGCTTGGACCCGGCGCCGGGGCGGGGCGGGGCCATGGGACGGGGAGGGCTGGCTCCGAGGTTGAGGCCCGCCATATCGGGCGCATCCGGGGTTGCGTTCTTGCCCTTTTCGGTAGCCACTGCAGTTGAAAGGTTAGGTCTGTGGGGTTTTTGATAAAGAGGCACAGAGGGACACGAGTGTCTACGGGGATTGGGCGTGACATACTTCTGTACATGTGGGCCTGTTCCGCGAGTTCGTCATCCGAGTCAGAGTCCGCGTCGATAGAGCGATCGAGCTGCTCGAAAGTCATGAGGGCGAGCACGAGGTCGTCGTTGGCGTGGAGGAGGCTGCCGAGCCACTGCTCAGATTCGACGTGGTGGATCTGGAGGGGCCGGCTGTTAGTGTTTGCGGGCCAGTCTGAAGAGATCGGACACTTACGTAGCGGAGGATCTTCCTCCTGAGCTTCTTGCACTCCTCGAATCGCTGAACGGCAAGCGCATTGTCAGAGATGCGCTCTTTTTCTCGGTTGATGGTCTGCAGGGCGTTGTTGAGGTTGGTGGTGGAGATGGAGGCCTCGGCAATGTCGCTCTTCATGTTCTCCTTTTCGGCCTCGAGAACAAAGGGCTTCTTCTTGCCCTTCTTATCCTTGGACTTGTTCTTGTCTTTGGAGGATCCGAAGAAGGACGTGCTCCCAGACGCAGAGGATGACTTGGTGTGGCTGAAGGAGTTGA